ACACATTAGCTTCTTTCTATTCAGCAGGCACTCTGGCTATGTTTGGAAGCTCCATTATCCTACCTGAAGTCGAGACGAAGCAGCAGATCATGTCGAAGCGATTCCAACAGTGTGTCTTTCCATGTGAGCGTTTCATCACAGAAGGTGATACCCATGGGATGAGCGTCTCATGCCTGGGGATGTCGCATGCTCAGGCGGCTCTCGAGGGGGCTGCCTGCGACCATTGCGAGGCCCTGCCCCTGAGGGTGCTGAGGTCTCGAGCGGCTCTCTTCCTAGAGGATGGTCGGATGCGCTCCCCTCGTGGCACAGGCCCCGCGGTCGCTGAGGCGTCGCGGCGGCTCCGATCCTGGGGATCACAACGCGAGATCACCAAGGGTGCCGGAACGGCTGAGGCCTTTTTCCGGTCCTCGTCCGCGGAGTCCTCCTCCCCTCGTCCCCGATCGGGAGCCCATTTCACAGTTTCTCCCACTTGAGGGGCGAGTCCGGAAAGGCTGACACGATCTGGCTCTGAGGAGCTAGATGTGCTTAGCATAGAGGAAACGGAACATCATGAGCCCTCGCCAGGATACGAGGAGTTGTTGGAAGTGGTGACGCGGGCCGTGGCCAAGCTGCACATTGATTGGCCACAGGCGGTGCAGCAGCCATCGGCAGGCAGCAAACTAGATGAGCGGTTTCTGCAACACCGAGCGCCACCCCCGCATCGGCCCCTACCATTTTTTCCGGATCTGCACAACGAGTTGTGTAGATCATGGAATAAACCCTTCTCTGCGCGGCTGTCTACGTCCCCCCGGCTGGACTATGGCAACGTACAGCACGGCTACGGAGCGATGCCACGAGTGGAGGAGGCACTGGCTAGCTACCTCTCTCCCAACCTCGCCTCATCCCTCCGGACGCCGGCGCTCCCCACCAAGCCGTGTCAGATGACGTCCGATTTGGCGGGCAAGGCCTACATGGCAGCGGGTCGAGCTAGTGCCAACCTACATACGATGGCTGTCTTGCAGGCATACCAGGCCAATCTCTTTCGGGATTGTGACGTAGGGGGAGGTCCCTCTGAGGAGGACCTGACGGAGCTCCGTAGAGCGACGGACTTAGCTCTCCGTGTGACCAAGGAAACGGCCTGTTCCATCGGCCGATCCATGGCGGCTTTGGTGGCTACGGAGCGCCATCTGTGGCTCAACCTATCAGGCATCCAGGGGAAGGAGAGGGCTTTTCTCCTGGATGCGCCCCTCTCGCCTTCTGGCCTGTTTGGCGAAGCAGTGGATGCTGTCGTCAACAGGTTCCAGCACGCCAAAACTCAGGGAGAGGCATTTGAGCGATATCTCCCCCGCCGGTCAGACTCCAGGACCGCGACGGCTCAGGAAAGCGTGAGGCAGCCTTCATCCAGCACCTACCGCCACAGCCAGAAGCAGAGCGTCGCTTCGCAGGATCCCCCTCAAACAACCTGGGACGCAAGACGGCGCTCTCGCCCACAGCCCCCCGGGAAGACGGATCTGAGGTCCTGAGACCTCAAGTTTGAGGCTCCAGGGCATTCGCATACAGAACTACATCGACGACTGGCTCGTCCTGGCCCAGTCTCGAGAGTTAGCGGTTCGGCATCGAGATGTCGTCCTCGCCCACCTTCAGCGTTTGGGGCTGCGGCTCAACGCGAAGAAGAGCGTGCTGACACCCGCCCAACGGACTGCGTTCCTAGGGGTGGTGTGGGACTCAACGACGATGCGGGCCCACCTGTCTCCCACACGCATCAAGTCCATTTTATCCTCAGTGACCAAAGTGCAGTTAGGCCGCGCCATCACTGTGAAACACTTTCAGAGGGTGTTGGGTCTTCTGGCAGCAGCGTCCAGTATAATATCTTCCGGACTACTGCACATGAGAGCCCTGCAGTGGTGGCTAAAATCCAAGGGATTCTCCCCGAGGGGAAATCCGCTCCGTCTGAGACGGGTTACAAGCGGATGCCTTCGTTCCCTATCCGTATGGAGGAAGCCTTGGTTCCTGTCCCAAGGTCCTGTGTTGGGAGCAATCTGTCGCCGAATAATTATTTCAACAGACGCCTCACTCACGGGATGGGGCGCGGTCATGGATGACCGCTTTGCGAGAGGCTCCTGGGAGGAGAATCATTTCTCTTGGCACATAAATTGCCTGGAAATGTTGGCGGTTTTCAGAGCTCTGAGGAGTTTTCTGCCCGCTCTCTGCAGTCGCCACGTCCTTGTCAGGACCGACAATACGGCGGTGGTGGCCTATTTGAATCACCAGGGGGGTCTGCGCTTGCGCCCATTATGCAAGCTGGCACATCGAATCCTCCTGTGGTCCCAGGAGAGACTGCTGTCCCTCAGAGCGATGTACATCCCTGGGACCCAGAATCAAGGAGCAGACCTGCTGTCGAGACAGGGGTTGAGGCCCGGGGAATGGAGACTCCACCCCGAGGTGGTGGAGTTATTATGCGAAGAGTTCGGCCCCATAGACGTGGACTTGTTTGCGTCCCAAGAGACGGCACACTGTCCCCTGTGATTCTCCCTATCACCCCCAGCCCCGCTAGGGCTGGATGCCATGGTACAGACGTGGCCGAGGCTGCGTCTGTATGCGTTTCCCCAGGTCGCTCTGCTCCCGGGGGTTCTGGAGCGAGTCCGCCAGGACGGCGTCAGCCTACTGCTAGTAGCCCCGTTTTGGCCGGCGCGAGTGTGGTTCTCGGATTTAATATCGCTCCTCGAGGGCCCGCCCTGGCAGGTCCCTCTGAGGAAAGACCTGCTGTCCCAGGCGGAGGGCCAGATCCTTCACCCACACCCCGCCCTGTGGCAGCTATGGGTCTGGCCCCTGAGGGGGCGCAGTTCTTAGAGGCGGGTCTGACGACAGGAGCAGTCGAAACGCTGCTGCACCCTTGTCCAGGTTATGTCCCTAAGGTTCCGGCCAGACTGGCAGGGTCCACGGTGCTGCAGGCGTTTCATCCCCCACCTCATGTGACGGCTGGAGGACGGGAGACTTCATCTTCATATTTACACTCTGAGGTCTTCCCGGTGGAGGAAAGCAGACCAGTTGCTGGTGTGTTTCGGGTCCCCCAAGGCTGGACTCCCCGCTTCTAAACACACCATCAGCAACTGGATCGTTCAGACTATTTCCCTGGCCTATCAGGTGCGCAGTTTGCCTTCACCTATGGCCGTAAGGGCGCACTCTACTCGAGGCATGTTAGCTTCTAGGGCCCTCCTCGCAGGGGCGTCACTCCAGGATTTGTGTGATGCGGCTGGCTGGGCCACCCCTCACACTTTTATCCGGTTTTACAGTCTGGACCTGCCTTCTGCACCCGGCACCCGTGCGCTCTTCTCCTAGTCGTGCCATCAGGTTCTGCACGCTGGGGGCAGGCAGGGTTTCGGTGCGGCCTAAGTGGGTATCTCGTTCCCATAGTGTCGTCACCGACGCAGTTCGAGTTCCCTCGAAGGGGAACGTCTCGGGTTACGTATGTAACCCATGTTCCCCGAGAAGGGGAACGAGACACTGCGTCGGTCCACCACACCTCACCCCGCCTGGAGTGCCTTGCTTCATAGAAAGGGGCTAATGTGTCTTATGTGCCGGCGTGCTTATATACCCCCTCCGGTTACGCCGTCACACACTACCGTTCTAGTAACACCAATAGGATTGGAGTAGTTTCATTCATAGTTCAGCCCTCCCACGCCGAGGGGCGTTCCCATAGTGTCGTCACCGACGCAGTGTCTCGTTCCCCTTCTCGGGGAACAAGGGTTACATACGTAACCCGAGACGTTCTCCTCATTGGCATCAAATCCAATTCGACTAAATCTGACAGTTTTTCTCTTACCATTGACAACTCCACAGTTTCCCCCACCCCTCAGGTCAAGAGTCGGGTGAATCCTCGACAGCGCACTTTCATTTCAAGCTCACATTAATAATATCACTCAGTCTGCATACTTCCATTTAAGTAACATTAATCGCCTCCGCCCGTCTCTCTCACCCACTTCATTCTCGTTCACACACTGGTAACATCCCGCATTGATTATTGTAATTCTCATTGGTCTTCCTCTCAAATCCATACATAAACTGGTTCAGAACTCTGCTGTCCGTATCATCACCAGTACCCCTTCTATTAATCATATTACTCCTGTCCTTCAGCAGCTTCATTGGCTTGATTGAATCTGCTCCTGACCTTCAAGGCCATTCATAACCTCGCTTCTCAGTACCTCACTGACGTCCTTCATATTAACACCCCCACCCGTACTCTTAGGTCATCTTCTTCTATTCACCTCACTGTACCTGCTGCTCGTTTGACCACCTCTTCCACCAGACATCCACAACATTGACTCACCTTCCATTTTTAAATCCCACCTGTAAACACATCTTTTTAAACTGGCATATCCCACGTGATCACTCTTTCTCAATCTTGGTTTCCAGTTGTTTTGTACCCTGATTTTATGCACTGTAATTATAGTTGTTAATTTTATTGATTACTGCTGTACTGTTTTATTATGTTATGTGAGGTGACCTTGAGTGTTCAGGCGCCTATAAATAAAAATGTTTACAGTTTATGAATAATGTCTCTAAGTGAGGACAGCATGATTACTTCAACACTGTGACATCAGTACACCAACCTTTGATGATGTAGAGTTAGAGTCCGCCTCACCTTGTTTTGCCTGTGAGCTCCGTCACACGATCCGCACGGAAGTGTCATGCTCTTGGGTTTTAGTGTGGTATTTGTCTGTTATTTTGTTAATGTCCATTCCAGTTTTACTCTTTGCCTCTCTGTTCTTGTTTAGGTTTGGTTAGTTGATCATTGATTCCTTGTTCTCTGTTGTATTTTGTTTCACATTTCCTTGTGTATTGTCAGTAGCTTTACTTCCTGTTTTATTTTGTAATCATTGGTGTTTAGCTTTGTTTCCTGTCTGCCTTGATTCTTAATGTGTCTCACCTGTGACTAATTGCCCTGCCAGCTTGTGTATGTGTGGTTTGCCCTAGTCTATATTGCTCTCAGTTGTGTTCAGTCTTTGTTACGTTGTAGTCATATTATAGTAACATAGTGTTCTGCCTCGTGCTCTGTTTTCCCCCAGGATTTCCGGATTGTTCCTTTGCTCTTGGATTACTCGGCCTTAGTTGGATTTACCCCCTGTTTGGATTACCTTTTCCTATTGTTTGGACATTTCTGTAAGTGAATTTTTCAGTTTCAATAAACCTGCAAACTGATCCAGCCTTGCTGGTGTCTGCATTTGGGTCCATGCCTCAGTTTGTCTGCCGCTGCACTCAGCCTATCTGATAGGAAGAGATTAAATCCTGGAAGGTGAAGTACGCTATTGGGAATGTGCTTGGTGAGCCCGGATTCGGTAAAACAGAAGGCAGCAGATCTGCAGAAGTCTGAGTTAGTTCTGTTTAGGAGCAACAGTTCATCCATTTTGTTGGCCAGAGCGCGGACATTCGCCAGGTGGATAGAACGGAGCACAATGCGAAAAACTCTCTGTCTCAGTTTAACCAGTGCGCTGGCACGCTTCCCCCTTCAGCATCTCTGGTAGATCCTGTACAGAGCTGCTCCTCCTCCAACTAATAACTAAGAGCGGTGGAATAGTGTGAGCAGTTGAAAGTACAATATTTAATATCTCTTCTCTGGTAAATGTTACCAGAGAGGAACGGCAGAAAACAGAATATATAAACAAAAACTCAAAAAGCACTACGGAGCGTCATCCAGAGGCGGCCGTCTGCAGTACCATCTTGGTTGACATTTGCAGCACAATAGCTGCATTTATTACATCTTCAAACTGGGTTAACTCAAGTCACTGAAAATACAGTAATCTCACTCATCTTATTTCTTGGAGTAAAGGGTGAATTCAGAGGTAGCTGCAAGGTAAAAAATGAAAAAAAGCACAGATCTTCCGGCGGTGTTTTATGAGGTTGCAAAGGGTTATAATTTGTGTGGACTGTAGATTTTCAAGTTTTCAGAAGGTTTAACAGTTTAGCTTTTCCTGATGATCTTTTGGCTGACTGTGATGCATTCAAAATGTGTTTTATTTATTTGGCTGATGTGAGTAAGACTGAGCATAATAGTGCAATTGCTGAGATACTCTCTTTGCAACAAAACAACAAAATGTCCCAAAAGACATACACAACCGTTCCCCAGGCATACCAGACATTAACTACGTTACATAAGTCACGTGATGTATGTAACGCTTACATGTAGTTGACATTGTGAAACGGTCGTAATTTGGTTAGGTTTGGGCAATTATTTGAAAATGATTGTGACAACTGATGAAATGTTGACTCTGGAGGCATACATGGAGAACGCCATCTGATGCCCCTCCCGAGGTTAATGAGGTTCAGGCTCCTTCTAAGCAGTCGTCCTTAGTCTCTTAGTTAAGTTCACTAATAAACTACTACTTCTACTAATAATAATAATAATACTGTCATGTCTGCCCCTGCTGCTCAGCCTCCTCCTCTTCCTGGACCCCAGCAGGTGCCCAGGACCACAACATGCAGGAGGAGGAAGGCGGCTGTAGCTGCTGCTGCTACAGGAGCGGGACGCTGCCTGGTAGCAAAACCCACAGGTAGACATTGCAAGGCTAAATAACAATAAGATAAGGCTACTTTTTTTAAAACCAAAGAATTAATTTATTTATCAGAGTACTCACATAAGAACATAGCATTAGCAGAGCACAAATTTTTCTTTTAAATATATGAACGATTCTCTGCCAAAATCAGCAGGGGGAATGGCACATATCCAGCTGTTACGCCCACCAGCAGTTTGTATTTCCATTTCAAGTTTGCTTGGCTGGGGTTATTAGGTTTAACAATATGCAAAATAATCATTACGATAATGACAGGGTAAGTGGTGGATCAAATTCAAACCTGGCAAACGTATAAGAGGTAGCCAGTTACCTAAATATGTGCAGCAGGGAACATCGCGGTGAAGGAGTGGGGTTTTGTTGTGTAGAACTTGGCTTCGCAAAATGAATAATTTTACAGCAAAATAAATCATTTTACAACAAAATGCACCGTTTGACTTAATTTTTTCACTATCAAGTTTGAATGGAGACATGCACTCGTGTGTGTGATTTCGACAAGCAACGAAGACAAACATAGCCAGCATATACAATGACTGAATTTTATTTATTTAAATATGTGAAAGTCTGCTAAGTTTCTTTTACTATTTTGGTCCAAGCTTACATTGGCCAAGTGTTTATTATTAAATATGATTTAATCATTAGGTTGTTGCCACCAGAGTTCTTGTAGATAGATAGATACTGTACATGACACACACATTGACAGCTTTATATTAAAAATCTTTGTGTCTATTCAATACCAATCATGTCTCCCTGACATGTGCTGCTGAGCCACTCAGTAACATAAGACTTCATCAATCCCAGTCAGCCTTTAATTATTTAGTGAAAGACCTCTTTTGTATAATAAGGAATAAGGATTTTTATTGCACATGATTAACATGTGTTGATGTGCCTTCCTTTGTAGTGTCTGGCAGCTAACGTCTCTCTCTCTCTTTCTGTAGAGATGCAAACATTCAGTTCATGTTGAACAAGACACAAGAAAAGAGTGGGAGCTGTGAGACATGCAATTGCCGGGTAGCTAGGCAACCCTTGAGAGCTGCTCTGGAAGACCTTGAGTTGTCTGCCATAATATCGCAGGCAAGTATTACTGTTTGGAAGCTAGCTGGGACACAGGATCTTTTTTTTAAGTGTCAGAGCAAGTTGATGGGATAAATCAGAATTTTTGGGGAGTGAATGAATTTTGGATAGGATTCTTAAGTAGGCCACCTTGAAAATTATGCTCAGCTCCAAAAAGAAATTTCATCATGTACTCCAATGAATATTCAAAGTGGTTTTAATATTAAATTGTTTATAATATGCTATACAATACAGTGCTGTATGTCTTGTTCAAGCAACATTTTAAAACACTGAACTATTTTATACTATATATCTCAGCTCTGGTTTATTATTCATAGCTGTTTGGCTACACAACAAGGACATCCGAAACCTTCTGCTCCTGCTCATGCACAAATTTCGGACTTCATGGTACTCGTTGGCAGCCAGATAAAAGCAAAGCAAAGTGATTCACCTGTGGCAAGAGGAGCCCTTTGCTTTTAGGGGTCACTCACCCACATATGATGTGGGTTCAAAGCATCCTTACCCTAGAGAGCGAGACAGAAGTTCGGACAGAGACACAGAGAGAGAGGCAGCATAGAGAGATGTAGTAAAGAGAGGAAATGAAAAAGGTGTGTCGGAGGAGAAAGGGAAAGAGAAGATGGGAAAGCAGTGACACAGGAAATGGAGAAAGAATGGGGCAGGGAAAGTGCACTGGACAGGAGCAGGTATAGAGCAGGTATAGAGATTTCAGTGTGTGTGTGTGTGTGTGTGTGTGTGTGTGTGTGTGTGTGTGTATATGTGTGGGGGGAGGGGGGTGAAGTTAGGTGCTGGCTATGAGAGCAACAGCAGTGTGGGCACTCAAGTAGAATATTTTTACAGCAGGAGAGCCTCTAAGTGTCCCTGTTATTAGGTGTGTTTGTGTTGCCTAGCAAGGAAACAAGGGTCTTACGGTACATTATCAATCTTCTCTAAAGATGTCAGAAAAACAAAATGTTAATGAGCATGTGTCCATCACTTTTAAAAATAGCATAATGTGAATCAAACCGCTCTGACTATCTGACAATCAAACAATGTCAAATGACAGCAGTAACAAACCACTTATTCTTGTTTTCATCATTTAAAGTATAGGTTTCAGTGGTATATTCACGATGCTCAGAGAAAATTGTTCCAGATATATAAGGATTTATCTGATTTATCTAAATTATACACATACACAAGAGCTTTGTGTGCACAGTAACGTTCTATTTACATTATCATTAGCTATACAAAAGGGTAGATTTAATGGTTTACTTGAAGAGAAAAAGCTGTTTGTTGTGATTTTGGTGAGATTGAAGATGAAACCATTTTGTGTTTTGTTGCTCATTATATGATGATTTACAAGCTACACTTTTTTTGTAAAATGTTCTTCATTTCTGATGAGTTCTTCTGATTAAGTGAATACAAAAAATGTATCGTGTTTTTGGAGGGGTCTTTTATGTGGCTGATTTTATTTGTAGGGCTTAGGACAAAATTTAAAGTTGCAATGTAATGTTATATGCATAAGAAGTTAAGTTCTTGTCAGACAAATGTCTTTGTACTGCAGCTGTGTTTATGTTGTCTTATAAGTTCACGTGGGCTGGGCACTCACATGTGCATGACACAATAAAGAACATGTTGCCCATAACTTGTCTTTTCCTCACCTGAACTCATCAAAAGCAGGGGATACCTTAGAAGGCAGTGTTGTCATGGATGAACCAAGAACCCTCCTCAGGCAGTGTGCCTCCTGTCTGGCCCATTTAATGAACTGCACCTGGAGTACCCAAAGTGCATCAAAAATAGGTGATGCTGAACCTGGATAAAGGTGAACCCACACAGACACAAAATTCTAATTCTAAAAAATGTTCCTCCAAGAAAAGGGCTGGCCTGTCCTGACAAAATGTATGGTACACAGCATGATTTGTATGTGTCAACAAACAATGTGTGTTTTATTTGTGTTATGTCATTTAAAATCTATATTTAATAAATGCACTGAGTTTATCAGTGAACAAGACACATTTTGAGTTAACTCAACTTAAACATTTCACGCTGATTTAAACTGGAAAATAAAGTTATTTTAACATAAAATTCTGTTGAATAGTTGAGCAAAAAGTAGGTTTTACTGCATGTTTTACACATAATATGGCGTTTAGTGTATTGAAGTCAAATTGTCACTTCCTATTCCTATCTATTAGCACTTACATCAGTTTCACTTAAATTAGTTTTTTCATTACCCATTACTTATATTTTTAAAGCAATTGGCTGCCTTACGTTTTTTAAATAAAGTCAATTTGTCTGGGATAACAGTGAGACAAAAAGTCTCAGCATTTATTTCAGCGTACAAGATCACACAACATAACACCTGACTGATACAGTAATTTATGTCTAAATTATATCAGCCATTCAGCAGAGCTTGTTGTGGAGCACAATACATTATTGATCCTTTGGTCACAATAGTTAGCTGCAGCACAATCAACGAGGGATTGTGGATCATGATAGATGGATTGTGGTAAGCAAGGAGTAATAAGCAATCCAACATTGCTGTCAGGTGAAAATCACCTTTTATCCGTGTTTAAAATCATACACACAGTCAAAGGTTAAGAAACTGACTCAATGTATAAATGACCATGCAAACCTTTAGTTCAGTCAAGGCAACACTGCAAATATTTCTGCAATATGGAGCAATAAGAAGATAATGAAAATGAGTTTTAATGCAACGTAAAATATTCACAATGTGTGACTACACAGTTATGTTCATGAAAATTAACAACCTCAGTTTGGTTATTTGTATCAAAGCTTTACAAAGCTTCTGGGACCATCAGACAGTCCTTCTGCATAAGATATAACAAACATTTTCACTAATTACAGAATTTCTCAACAATCGAGATTAGTCACAATGATGCAACAAACTTGCAAGAGACCCTAATTAAAAAGAATCCAACAGCAATCATCTCCATGAATCATCCTCTGACTGATTTCATATCTTGAAATATGTCAGTAGAGTCTATAGAGAATACTGACTGCAAGCCAGGTGTAGGCCTTGCAAAACTTCCATTATAAATAAAGTCATTTAGTATAAATGTTAACATCTGACATCACTGCACCTCAGGTGTGACACCTGTATTAATGAAGCACACACTACACGTCTGCATGGACAAATAAAGTCATGCATCTTGGAAATTACCTCTCACCCAGAGCTCCCCAACAAATCACTATCCTGTATGAATTTCAACACGTTTAAAATAGGAACTCTAATACATTTGGACCATGTATCACATAAGATGTGTGGTGTGGACAAAATTTAGGGAAATGTTATTACCTGCTCCAAAAAAATCATCAATAGTAAAACACATGTATGATATGATATATGTTTTGTGGTCCAAAGGTTTAGGAAATAATTCTATGATAGCTGGATTTTGGTTTCCTGCTTGCTGCCATCTCAGCAAATCTAGGCCATGTGGTGGAGCCTAGGTGGATACCAGCAAGCAGCAACCATCATGGCAGAGTGATAGCACAGTGCAGAGGCTCTTTGTAGCGTAGGTATGTTACCAACATGTTCCAGAGAGAAACTTCAAAATCTTAATGATGATTAAAAAGTGTTGGAGTGCATGATGCTTTTTTGACCCTTTCCTTCATTAAGTTGCTTTCCGGTTAGGTACCAAACAGATGTCAGCTCATTGAACATTAAAAGGTCACGGCAATAAGATAAAGGTATGAATGGTTATAATTTGCATGTAGTGGTGAGACGTAAAATCCAGAGGGGGCAAGAGCCAGATAGTGATTCTGGAAGGTTTGGTGTCTTTGCTTTCTGGATGTATGACTGGTTTTTGTTTTGTTGTCACATTAGGCGTTTTTGGACCAAACATTTCTGGGTACTCCCTGAGAGGAACTGGGAAGCTTCCTCCAGGAACTACATACCATAAAAAGGGCTTTTTTCTGTTTGCATTTGCACCACGAATAGGAATACTTATGTAACGTAGCTGGCCGGCGGCAGATGGAATAGCAACGTCACTTCCGCGGGACATACAACAACTTTTAACAAGTTGGAGTACACTGTGTGTCTGTTGTGTGTCATTGGTTTCAGATAATAACTGAGAGGGAAAATAGATGTGAGAATTTAGACTATGCAGTTGAAAGAGCAATAAAGAAGGAGCGCTAAATGACAATTGGCAATACCTCATATCATGGATGAGAGAAGAACCCAACATTGCAGACCAAGGAGATGGGTAACTAATTTAAAATGATTTTAGTTTGATGTCATGTGAACAAATAATTTTAGTGGAAATACCTAGGGATTGGTACTGAAACCTGGCATTAAATGGGCCCCAGCACTAAATTATTAAAGGCCGTAAAATTGACAAGCTCCAACGAGCTAGCTTGGCTTTTAGCAAATTCTTGTAAACTCTGAAGCAGAAACTTAAAAGTCCCTCAAAAACAGCGTTCTGAGAACTACGATCATTCCCAGTTCTTGCAGTGAGGACACAATAAAAAGGAGGCGGTTCCTTCAAATGTTCTTAAAACTATGAAAAAGTGCCAAGTGTTTAATGAGTTTGTGTAAGGGGGTCTAGGAGTTTACACATTTTGCAATATGTCTTCTGTATTTTACTATGTTTTCTGTTCATGTCTTTGTGTGTTCTGTGTTCTACCTGGCTGCAAACATATTTCCACTTGGGGACAGTAGAGATCCAAAGTCACAGTGTTACTAGAAGTTCCATTTTCACTTTAGATGTCTATGTTCAAGTTGAAAGTTTAAGCCTATGTAATTTAATAGTTAATCTGTTTTTTCGAGTTAATATGTATAAATGATTTCCTCATAATGACACAGAGCTATGGAGTAATTTTTCCACCTGTTTCGGGTAAGTAATAAAAAATTGTTTAACGATCTGTCAGAACCTAGTGGTTAGTGCAGGATTATTTTTAGCCCATTATAGCCCATTCTTTTTCAGTGAGCACTGAGTACATGTACCTCACAATTATTATTAATGTGTATTCTTCAGAGAAATTATGTACAAACCTCTGCCTTCGTTAAGTGTCAGCTGAGGGTTCACTGACAGACAGTGACAGCAGCTAAATCTGTCATATCTATTTTTAACCGTCTTCACAGTTTTCCTTGCTGTGCATGCTATGAAACTTTGATATTTAGAATGTAAAATTTAGCTTTTAAAATGTTTTGTATAATTCTAGCTTCAGTTTTAGTGATTTATGAACTAACAAACTATTAGAAGTTTTTTAATTATATTATTTTAATTCATGGTCTGGGGGAGGCACCCACACACAACACGAAAGCTACTCTTTTTGTTTAATTCCCAAAACCAAACCACAACAGAATAGCTGTGACACAATGATTTGGTGGGGATGGGGGAGGAGCAAAGTGGCTCTGTGGAGAGACATAAATAATAAAGTATACAAATATTTCCAAGGAAAATTCCGGTTTATTTCATCCTGGCATATTCCCCATAAATGTGCCCATTTTGACCCAGATATAGATCCCCATGCAGTTAGCCACATTGACCATTCCAGGGGGGTGCATTTTGTGTTTACTTTTACCTGAATCTTTCCAACTGAGGTGGTTAGTGCAAAGTTAGCATGACTAATAGAGTCACTATGGACACATTTATGAGAAATATGCCAGATTTAAATATGTTAATTAGGTGAAAGGTTAAAATGATCATTGGTTGACCCTGTGAACAAATCCTACTAAAATCACTGAAAACATTTTGAAAGGGTGATTGCCAGTGTGCTGACAATATTAGAATGATTGCTTTAAATCTTTGAATCTTTCAATTTCTGCTAAAAGCTACACTAATTTTTCGAACAGACATAAAGGTTGTTGCAGAAGGCACTTACAAATATCACATTTAGCATTTTAAGTATGAGGATCAATCTTTAGATTATGACATTAAAACCTGGACACTGGTCTGTAGTTTGACATCTAATTTCAAGCAAGTATTTAATATATTCATGAGCAGGGTGCAAAGTGTTTTTGTTTCACATTTTAAATGAATAAAGATCATACTGGCAGTCAGCCAATACTATCACCTTGGGTGATTAGATGACATTGTATGACATCACCTTGTGAGACAGTAGGGCTGGCGGTCCACGATTTTCACAGAGCCTGGGAACATGTGATGATGCTGGCGAGTGCTGATGATGATGATGATGATGATGGTGCTTGTGTCTGTGCCAGTGGCTGTGTGTGTGCCGTTTCAGTGTGATGAATATCCCTATCCCAGATGGCTGGCTCTCCACGAGACGAAGCATGTGAACCCTTTCAACCAGCATGAGGCTTCAGTGGCCAGCCTCCGTCTCCCCGCCAAGGTCACCGTCAGCAGAAAGGGAGACAGAACCGGGAACGAGTTTAAAATCTCCACTGCTGACAGCTGCAATTTAATTGTTACCTTGTGAAACAGATGCAGTGCTTTCAAAGAGAAGGAGGCTAACGCTCCATCTTGATGGCTCTCTAGTGAGAGCCCCAAATCCTTAAGCTTGTTTTTAACTTGAAGAACACTTCCTTTAATGGTGTTTTTTAAACTTGAGGAACAGTTCTTCTAGAGATAGTGAGAAGAACCACACAGGCAGTTTTGAACTATATTCCCAAAGTCCATTTATTGATGGCTTAAATCCCTAAAGCCTACATATATGGCTATATTCTGATGACTTGCTAATTAGTTAGCAAGTCTCAATTTAGAGTCACTTTAGTTAGTCCTTGCACGTACACCACTAAAATAGCCCAATAGTTCTCTTAGATGCTGGTGTCAGCCTGATATGTTAAGGACAACTCACTCATTATACCTCAAGTACACAGTGAGCATGTGCATAGAGGTTATCTCAGTCTACTACAGCATATATCATGATCCAGTAGAAGGCAGTAAAACTATGAGCCATTCATGTTTTGCATGATGGTGTCACAATATATTATATAGTGTCTGTATGTCTGTATTTGGCGTCACCAAGACAGAATGTTATACACAA